ATCACAAAAACCTCAAATATTACTGCAAACCCCAGCAGCTCACTCCTTGTCAAGCCTGCTGGGCCACTACCATCCAGTCCTACCCTATCTGGTTTTCCTGGCAGGCTGGTTGCCTACAGGTCCTGGCTGATACTCTTTCTCACAAAAATGAATCCTCGAAGCCCGCCCCCATTGCCACAGTCCTACCCCTGGACCCTTGGCTTTCAGAGGGGGTGGATCCCCAAATTTGTCTTGTTTTGCCCACTTTTTCTGTTACAAGGCTACAAAAACAACTAAAAATTAACCATCTCACAAGAATAGGATGTCTTCCCACATGGATACAATGGTCAAAGAACACCTCGAAGCTGTATTCTCACCCAGCTGAGAAAAAGCCCAAGGAGAATTGGCTGTCTGATGCTTGCCCTTTGGCAAATCCTGTAAAAGGAGTGTGAGGAGTTTATGCAATATCCACGGATCTGTATGAGCACATCAAAAACAATATGCCAAAGGACTTGACAGGTCCTGAACCCAAGGATAATGTGACTATTGCAAAAGACAGGACAAAAAGATTTGGAATGGTGTGTCTGTATATCCCTCCCAAAGATCACCACCATTGCATGCAGTCATATCATGACCATGAATCAGCAGGACATCCAGGACAAAAGGCAATGTTCACAAAGATGTGAAAGGAAGTATGGTGGGAAGGTATGGGAAAGGATATAGATATACGAGCTTATGTGGCAGGATGCCCTGTCTGTCAAACCACTAAAGTGGTGACTCACCCACCAACACTGCCCATTGTTCTGCATAATACACCCAAGACCATGTTTCCATTTCAACAAATATCTATGGATCTCATCACCGATCTCCCAGTCTTGGGAGAACAGAAGTATGACTCTGTTCTCATGGTTGTCAATCAAGGCCTCACAAAGGCTGTCCTGTTCCTTCCATGTCACAAGACAATTGATTCTGTCAGGATTGCCTAACTCTTCCATCAGTTCATTTATTCCCATTTTGGGGTTCCTGAATCTGTGATCTCCAATCACAGACCACAGTTTGCATCATCATTTACGAAGGAACTCTACAAGGCAATAGGGGTAACCCCTAAACTTTCGACAGGGTACCATCCACAAACCAATGGAGAAAGCAAATGGGTCAATCAAGAAGTGGAGGGATATCTTCAGTTGTATTGCACCAAAGCACCAAACTCTTGGGCAGCAAAACTTCCTTCTGCAGAATTTGCCCATAACTCCTGCATCCATTCTGTCCATCAAATGACACCATTTTCACTCCTCCTGGGCTATGACCTGTCCCCCTATCCAGAAGTTTGGCTAACTATGGTTCCCTTGGTTGACAAAAGGTTGGAAAGACTGGCCTCAAATCATGATGTTGCCATTCTTGCACACAAGAAAGCACAGGACTTGATGTGTTCACATTCAAAAGGGTCCTATACTCTGCCCAGAGTTGGAGATCAAGTGCTCCTGGATACTGGGCACTTGTGCATCAAAAACCAGTGTGACAAGCTTGCACCCAGGAGACTCAGGCCATTTAAGGTGACTCAAGTTGTCTCTCTGGTGGCCTTCCAATTGGACCTTCTGCCAACTTGGAAGGTACACCCAGTGTTCCATGCCTCTCAAATTTATCCTTACCAGGAAAATGACCTGTACAGTTGGTCCCTGCCTGCACCACTTCCAGAACTTGTGGATGATGAAATTGAATGGGAGGTCAAGTCAATAATAAATCACAAGGTTGATGGGCACAAGGGTAGATGGAAATATCTGGTTAAGTGGAAAGGTTTCCCTCATTCATCTAACACCTGGGAACCAGAGGAACATATAAAAGACCATGCCTCTGACACACTTGACCAGTACAAGCTCGCCTGTCACCTCAGGAACTAATGGACTCCCCTTGCTCTGTCAATATGGAGAATGACTATGCCAATCTCCCCCTCCCCAAATCCATTTATGACCCTGCAGCTGACTGGGATGACCTCTTCATCCCCCCCATCACTGTCTATGCCCTGACCTCACCTCCAATGACCACTGCCAGCTTTCCTGACTCATACCCCTCATCCCCCATCTTGCAGCCTTGTGCAACATTGCCCCCTGTTGCCCACCCTCTCTGGCCATGTCCATACGTGTCCTTCTCAGTTAAGAGGGTTCCTGCCCCCAAGGCCAGAGTCCCCCTCAGTGGCAACAGTTACCAGCAGGGAAAGGGAAAGGGTAAGGCGTGAGCTGACAATGACACCGGTGGTTGAGTAGCCAAGACTGATACCCCTGATGCTCCCAAATCTCCCCACTTATGCACCACCTACACCACCTACTCCAATGGCACCCACCATGCAGCTCTTGACCTCCTTGCCTTGGCAGCCCTTGCCAGGGATGATGAGCCACAATTACCAATTGCAGCAGCTGACTACCTGGGTGTTGTTAGGGCACTTGATGTCTTCCATGATGGGGACCACATTGATGGGTGCTCACCAGAATGGGTTAAGTATTTTGGGTTGCTGTCTGGGGTCTGCAGAGTGACAGACATGATTAATTCTGCTGTCTTGAAGATACGCACCTGGAAACTTAGTGGCACTGCACCCCTGTTGGAGGTAATCATGATCAACATGCTGGAAAGAAGCTCCTTGGGACTTTTAGAAGCTGTCAGCAGTGGGGCTTACCATCATCTTCTCCATCAGCAGATCAGCAAGTTCCTGGCTCCCCCAGCTTCTCAACTTCTTGGTCGCATTTGCCTGAAACAAGAGGAACCATTGGTTTCCCACAAGGAATGAGAGAAGAAGGTAATGGAACAGGAGAAAGTCAATCAGTGGAAAGCACTGGAGTTGTCCTATGTGGACTCAGCAGACTTATATAAAGAGGTTGGTGCTCAGTTAGGCACAGGGACTCACAGCTCCACCTGGGAGGTCCTCATACAGGACGCTTCGTGGGCAGGAGTCCATAAGAACTATCAAAATGCCATCCACACCACCAATCCCCTCCCCACCAATCCCTTTGTCTCTGTCCCTTTTGATCAGCTCTGTTTCTATCCTGGAGGGCAGTCCCCCATCCCAGCTGACCATGTCCTCTACCAACATGCATGTTTCCAGTGCCATTACTTGGGACACTGGTCCTGCCAGAATGGATGTGGCTCCCATTTCACCCCTGCCCTCAAGGAACCACCAACCCCATTGCCTTCATCACCTGTCACTTCCCACACCCATTCCTGCATTTATACCACTTGCCAACCCCTTTCCTCACACCTGGCTCATCCTCATGGGTCTGAGGACCTTAGAGGGGGGGCAATGTTATGCCTGTGTCAGGGGTCTTTCCTTTTTTGGTTCCTTGCAGTCATGTGTGTCATGTGCCTCATTGCATCTCTCATAATCATCACTATCCTAGGGGTTCATATGCTGCAAGGCTTGCTCAGATCTCCAGCTGTCAAAGTATTTCCAATACCTGTTGACACCATGCCCTTGCCCTGATCCAGTGTTCCACTGCCCTCTCTGATGGACAACATGTTTTGTTCTTGTTCCAGTGACTTGTTTCTGACTCATCTATGTTGATCATATGTTGTACTATAGTTCCAGTGTCTGGCTCCTCACTGCACATTGATTGTGCAGCCGGTATAGCCTTTGCCCCCTTCACTACCCCCATCATATGACACTGTATGACTTGCTCTGCCTTATCTATTTGACTGATTGTTTTGTTGATTACTGTGGATATGTGTCATGATGTGTCTTGTCATGACTGGTACAGTACTCATACTTAGGGGTATATAAACCCTTGTACTTTACCTTGTATCCTCAGTTTTTTGATAGCTTGCAACTCAGCTTATTCCTTTGACTTCATCCTTGTTCCTTCCCCATCACAATCTCAGAAGAACTCACCAGTGGAAGTAACTGTCATATTTTGTCAATACCACTGAGCCATAGGGGTTACAACAAGTTCAGCCCAAAGACTTCCCCTCATGCCACTCATGCCTAGTCCATTTGACAAAGTCACTCAGCTTGGGCATAACAGTGGTGGTGGTTCAAGTGCCAGTAGATGACTGTATATCAAAGGGTATGAACACAAGTGCCATTAGGGATGGTAACAGGGAACAAACATAAGATTCAGGGAGTTCCAGCCCATTGCTTAGGGGTTAAATTCATCATCCACCTGTCCACCTTGCAAATGACAGTATTCACAGTTGTTACCTCTCAATGCCAGGACGAGTAGGGGTAATGTAAAAGGAACAGTGCTTTGCAGAGGAAGACCCAACCCAGTGCCAGCCAAGACCAAGTAAAGCATGACTCGCAATCCGAGACCAGTTTACATAAGCAACTGCCGGCCCGAGTCTGCCGGGCTGCATTATCATCCTGACATGCACTCAGCCTCATGTCCACCGCCTGGCCTGATAGGCTTAAACGGTTTCCTTCGACCACCCGCCACCAGGCAACCCTGTGCCAAGGCTCACATCGACCTCCAACCATGTCCGTAGCTCAGCCTCTGCGAATCTCATGTACGACGTTCGAAATTTCCATTCCCCAAGATTCTGAAGACTGACGCCGATGAGGCAGATATTGAGCTGCAGAATAGGGAGGATAATATTGAACTTATCGAGTTAATCCTCCCCGGTTGTCGACGCAGTATTCGATCACAGAGTAAAAGCCTCTTTCGGGAAGACTTCCCTCAGCCTCTGTAAGAGTGTCTGTTTGACGCGCTTACCGCTCCTGAAGTTCTTTGTACCCAATAGTACCGTTGAAGGCGAAGCCCTCTCTTTATCCGTTCATAGGAAAACGTGGTATTCTAAATTCATTCCGGCCGTTAAGGTCGTCCGAATCAAAGTCAAGGATGTGCTATCTAATTCGCCAGAGCAGAGTAAGTCAGAGGATGAACTAGCCCCTTCTTCCGTGTTCCATTTAAACGCCCGTAGAGTTTCAGACAATGCGCAACAAGTTGGACATCATTATTGGACTCTCACCCAGTAGCACCCCGGTCGACGTGCAATTGGATGGAGCCTCTAGGGTTCTGATGGAGCATCTACAGAATGTAATGTCTGCGCCTCCGAACACTGGTGACCTTCGTCCTACCACTGAGGACCTCCTTAATGAGTGCCCTCGGTGAGTGTGTTCAACCTACCACTGCACAAATATCTCACATTTCTACGCTAGTTTTCGGGTATTGGTAATCGGGCAGGTAGTGAACACTGGCCGCCGCCGCAGAGTTTATTTTTAACGACGATATCATTTCAGTCTGGTGTCGGGAAATCTACACTGATTGGCCAAGCCTTTGGAGTCGAACAGGCAGTTGAGTAACCGAGAACATGTGCATGTTCTTTGTTCATGAAATTCCCAGGTCGCCGAGGATGACAAGCCGGGAGAAGCTGATATTGAGAAAGAACTTATCTCGCCGCAGAACGACCGGTTTGTCTTACATGACAGCAAGGGCTTCGAACCGGCGGAACGCAACAACTATAGCGATGTGAAGACGTTCATAGAAAACCGCAAACATCAGCCACATATCAAAGATCAATTGCATGCAGTCTGGTAAGCCAATCCAAGATGATCATGGAGACCCTGACGGACGGTTATGCCATAGGCTGTGCTTCCGAACGCCCCTCGTACATCAAGGCGAACGGCTTATGGAAAAAAGCGCAGAGAAAATCTTGCGAGAAGATATGGGTGTTATCGGGGACAGTAAGCAAATCAGCACTTTTGTCATCTTCCAACCTCTTGATTGCCGTTAGTTCCCACCATAGTGGTATTCACGAAATATGACAGGCTTCTGGACAGCTTGGACCTGCAGGGAGTTGCCAACCTTGGCTCAGCTGCAGAAGAGTACTTAAAAGAGAATTGCATCAAGCCCATCCAGGAGTTCACCGCAAACCCAAACCTAACACATCTCCCAGTTAGCTGTGGTAGGTTTAATTCATTTTGACTCCGCTCCACGGTCCAACTGCTGTGTTATTAGAGGACGGCGGGCGTAGACAAGGGATTAAGGAACTGATTGAGCTCACCCATGAGAAGGTCACTGCGACTTTTGGGTCCCAGCTGGGCATACCATCCCCAGTTTCGGTCGTGACCCAAATGGCACAGAGAGTCTCGCCAAGGTTGAAAATTGAGGGATCGATAACGTAAGTTGCGCTCACTTGTTTCCATACCACGACCTGAAGTCGTATTCTCATATAGTGTTGGCAAGCAGAGTAAGCAACCGTGTATGGTTGGCAACTATGTGAAACATTGATACCCATGTTTTGAAGGATATTGGAGTGCGCTGACTTCTGGTGCCAATTTTGGCAACCATACGATTCTTGAATGCCTTGCTGTTATTCATACTGACATTGTGTCCGTCTGGAATTTCAATGACCCATCTCAAGTGAGTGTCTCAATCACCGCCGCAGTGATCTACTAAATGATGCCTGTCCCGTAGTATCTCTATAGCACTGAATTTCGAGAACTGATGATAAACCTGGTGGGGACCATTGATTCGTCGACGCCGCGTCTCCCTCGCGCTGATAGTACCAAAAACACATGCGAGTAAGTGTTACTGTGTAAGCCGCCACTACATCACACTTATGAGGAGTCACTCACCAAGGTCAGGAGCTCCCATCTTGCTTGCTCTGCCTATAATTCTGCCGTTTAAAGTGGGACTGGGTCTTGCACAATGGGTTCACGAGATATATCAGCGACTGTGGGTGACATTATATTCGGTATTTCCTACGAGTAAACTCTCCTTAGACCGGACGTGCATCGCAAGTTCATGGCTTATGTTGTCGATCTGGTCCACATCTTGGAGATATTGTTCGCACTCACTGCCAACAACAACGAAAAGAAGCTTTCCCGTGGAGCCATTGGTTTGGCTCTCAACGCATACTATCAGTCAGCAATACAGCGCGAGGCTCGCGAGCAGATCATGAGTCGAGACTATATAATCCCGGGCCGCGACGCCGTCCTCGACGAGATCGTTTCTTTACTTGGGATGAGTGTGGTTGACGACCGAGGCATTACCAGGGACCTTGCCAATATTCGACCTGGGGATCTGGAGCGAGACGATAAGTGGTTTACCGTTGCTGACAATTCGCACTCGTTCAATCGTTGAGCTACTCTTTATTGAACTACGAGGTTCTCGTTTCTTTCACTGTTATAATCGCATTTTGTAGTTGTACTACGACATACTTGGAGTGCATATGATCTAGCAGATTTACAGCCCTTTGTCCCTGACAGCAAGCTCGCGAGTGTAACCACAAGATGGTCCCGAACGGTGCGGCCAAGGTGGCAACCTTGGGTACCAATAAAGTACCCAATGGTTTGTGTAATCTCGGTTCCAGATCAAAACTCACGTCCCATTGTGCAGGATGAGTATGGGCGCTTCGATCAACGGACCATTCTGTGGGCTGTGATCCAGCATCTGGACAGGGTTTCCCGTCGGTGTAAGTGCGTCCGCCTCCATCAAGTGCAGCATAGTTGGCGTGGAGTATTATTCACTTGCATTTCCACAGGGACCTCGCCCGCCAAGGCTGCTCCCGTCGACTTTGTAAACAATAGAGAATTGGCCATCGACATCCTGGAACCCAGCTAGCTCAATGGAATTACCGCAGCGTCTGGCGAGAAATGGGTTGTACCTATGGTGTGTAGGGACTCACAGGGTTTGTTGAAGTTGCAGATCCAGCGCAGTGTGTGTCCTGCGAGGGAGATTCAGCAGCATAGTCTGCATGAAAGTACGTGAGCATCTGGTGCGACGACGGGAAAAGGTGTCCCGTGCATATGACGAAGGTGCCATTTCCTCGGTCGATAACTTCCAGTGCCCTTGGAAAACCGACAGTTGCCCACAGACCAACGTCCGGGAGTGGATCCACCCCATATAGCAGTGTCCACATCGAGATCCTTCTATTATCATATGATGTTGCAACTTGTATATCAATGTTGCCGGAGCTAATTGCATACGTGAATGTTACACTGGGTGTGACAAGGATGGCCAGGGCTGGGAAGTTCGTGTCAACAAGTGACAAGGTTACATAAGTGGCCAGCAGACGAACCTCTGATGAACCTTAGATGAACCTTAGACAAACCGGCCTTTTTTCTGTGCCTCTATTTTTGACAGGTTATGTATCACCACTAACCCTTTTTTTACCCCTTGTCCCTTGTTCTTACAAGCTCATTTTCACATATATATACTTCACTTCTCTCACTGACAAAACCCTCAGTCATCTTGCCCATACTCAGGCAGTGGCTGAGGTATAGTTATCCCTTGTATTCATTTTACACCTTACTAATTGTATGTTAGCTATTTTCTATTTAGGTGAACAACCCAGTCATCTTGCCCATACTCAGGCAGTGGCTGAGCTATTTTCTATTTAGTTTTTGTCAGTTCGTGCTGATAACTAGGTCATAAACAGTTGCACAGATGCAGCTGAAACAGATACATGAGAGGATGATTAGATTGAGAAGATGTTTTTGAAGCAACATGTGCAAAGGTTGCTAGTTGTTGAGCTGCTCTGCAACCATTAGAACAGTTCCTGTTGCACTGCAATGGGATAATGTAAGATACAGGGGAATGTAATTCCCCTCTGCCATCATGTATCGATGGAGTACTTATATATCAGTCTTTGCATGTCACTACTGTAAGCTGCTGGGGAAGTGACTGTGGATAGTGTAGAGTAAAGAAGCAAGTGGGCAGAGGTGCAAAGCACCTCCTTGCTGTGATGAGATAGGGGCCTGTGAGATGAGCATTAGCTGTGTATCCCAGGTGTTAGAGCCCATGTATGGCTTGTGCACATGTGTTACATGAGAGCCATGAACCTATTGTCACCTTGTAGTATGGGAGAGCCCAACTGATGAGTGTCACCATGTAGGTTTTGTGGGTAGGGTGAGAGCAGAAGGCTACTTAAGTTAGCCTAGACACAGAACTCAGACTTGAAATGATGAAGTCTATATTATCTACTAACTTAGACACAGAACTGTGTAGGTAGTGAGTAAAGAAAGGTGTACTTTAGTAGTGGAAGAACACTGTACCTCAGACTTGAAATGACAAAGTCTGAGGTGTAAGGTAAGATGAAGTGTAAACTAAGTACCTAACATATTATGTAATCAACTTGGTGTAGACTGGACAGCATACTGTTCTCCAACAGTAGTACAGCTGAGCCTGAGAGGAAATGTTGTCATGAGGAATGGTGCAGCTGTGGTTTGAATTGTCATTGTCAGTTACAAGCAGGCTGGGGAGTAAGTGTCATCATGGACTATGGGAGAGCCCAATAAATGAGTGTCACCATAGCATACAGCTGAGCCCAAGAGTAAGAGTCATTATGGAGAATGGCTGGGCAGAGGTTAGAATTGTCATCATGGGGTACAAGCCAGCTGTGGGATCAGGGTGTAGCCACTGCAATATGAGTAGTCCCAGGTAAGTGCAGAGTTGGGTGTCTCCAGAAGGTATGGATGAGCTCAGCCCCTGAGTTCACCCCTGGCAACACTGTCATGCAAGCCAGCCCAACACCAATGCCATGCTAGCCATCCTGGCAACACTGCCATGTGGGCCAGCCCACCACCAATGTCATGCAGGCCATCCTGGGATGAATGCCATGTGAGCTGGGCCAACACCAATGCAATATGAACAGGCCCAATACCATTGCCATGCAGGCTGGCACAACACCAATGCCATGCTGGCTGTCCTGGCATTGATTCCATGTGGGCAGACCCAATACCAATGCCATTCAAGGTGTCCCAGCACCAATGCAATGTGAGCCAGGCCAACAACAACCCAGGACTAATGCCATGGAAGCCATCCTGGCTGGCACTGATTTAATGTGAACCAGCATAATGCCAATGCCATGGAAGCCATGCTGGCACCAATGCCACATGCTCCAGCACATTGCCACTGCCATGGGGCCATCATGGAAGCTGTCCTGGCACCAATGTATTGTGAGCCAGCACTGGCACCAGGTCCATGTGTTCCAGCACATCCCCAATGCCATGGGGCCATCATGCAGGCCATCCAAGCACCATTGGAATGTGTTCCAGCACAACACCAATGCCATGGAAGCCATCCCAGAACCTATGCCATGTGTTCTGGCACATCCCCAATACCATGAGGCCTATCATGCAGGCCATTCTGGCACCATTGTAATGTGTACCAGTACAAGACCAATGCCATGGAGGCCAGCCCAGCACCAGTTCCATGTATTCTGGCATATCCCCAATGCCACAGGTCCATCATGCAGGCCATCCCAGCACCTTTGTAATGAGTGCTGGCACATCCCCAATGCCATGAGGCCATCATGCAGGCCATTCTGGCACCATCGTAATGTGTTCTGGTGTAAGTTAGGTAAAAAAGCAAAGCTAGGGAGTGCAGGGGACTCCTAGGGCTTGATAGAAAAGGGTCTAGTTTGACCCAGAGGAGCTCTGAGCTTGGAATTGAGAAAAGAGGTGAAGGAGTGGCTGGAGTTGGTCAAAATGAATGGAGTGGGGAAACAAGTGAATAATGGCATCTGGAAGTTGTCTGGGAGTGCCTCAAAGAGGGCTTGTCACAGTCTTTCATTTGCAGTCTTCACTTGTCACTGTCTTGCAGTCTGGTTCTTCCTCTTTTTTGATTTGTGTACTCTAGATCTACACTAGTGCACAAAAATGCTGACCAAGCTACCAAAAATGCACCACACAGGTAGGCTAAGTATCACTAATGTAAATCAAAGCAAAAATACAGTAGAAAAGATAAAATAACTAAATCCCCTTAGTAGGGAGTACCTATTCCCTACATCTGAGGGGGACTTGAGAAAATGACTGTCCTCAGTCAATGAAAAAAGGGGGGTTGGAAATGAAGGAACAGGTATCATATCAAAGACAAGTCCAGAAAATGAAAGGCATCAAGCTTTGAAACAGAAACAAGGAGACCATATCAAGAAAAAAGGAAAAGTCCACATGACTCACTTCACCAACCCACAGGGGATGTGAGCAGAATCAGGAAGGAAACTGGCACAGGCACATGGCTGGGGAGAAGGTTCAGCCAGAGGGGGCTACAAACTCAAACTGAGTGCAGAGGGGACAGGTGAGGTTGTTCTGGAGAGGACAGAGGTGAAGCAGGGGGAGGTACCTGTGAACTCAAACTACCATGACCATGAGCCAGGGCCCAGAAGTCAAGCCACTCCCTGAGAGTTCACCCAAGAGCCTCTTGAGGGATCTCCTGACCTGTAGGTAGTACAACTTGGCCATGAATAATCCTGCACCTGCCCAACACCAGATACGAAGTGCACACACTGCACTGAGCTCAAACATGACCTTCTTGACCACAGAAGAAACAGAAACTGAACCTCTTGAGGGCAGAAGGTTGCTTTGAGGCTCCATGATGAACAGGGGAGTCATTTGAGCAAGGGCTGAGTCGAGGGGGACTCTTCGAAGTCAAACTGGGCTGTGGGGAGGGCTTACTCAAGGCTGAATGAGAATTCAAGTCATTTGAAACCAACTCGAAGTGAAGTTGGATGCTACTTGGAGCCCCTTGCTGAGGAACAGGGACACACAGGCTTGAAACCGGTCGAGGGGGACCATTCAAAGTTGAACTGAAGCAGTGAGAGGGTCTACTCGAAGCCAAAGGTTCACTTCGAAGAGGACTTTGGCTATTCAAAGCTGAAGGGGGCTTGACTTGATGAGGGGGACTGTTCAAAGTTGACTCAAAGCAGTGAGAGGGTCTACTTGAGGTCGAAGGTTCATTTTGAAGAGGATACTGGCTATTTGAAGCTGAAGGGGGCTTGACACGATGAGGGGGGTCTGAACTCCACCATTTTCCTGTGCCATCACCAACCAGCTGGTTCACCAGCACATACCTGGTGTGACGAATGACATTGATGAAGTGCCAGGAGAGGTCTGGGGCATGCTGGGGGAACCAGCAAAGGAGGCTGGTCACCACCTTCTTTGTGAGCTGTAACAAAAGGCCTCAAACAAAGAGCCTTGACTGTGCCTTGATGTCCAAAATACCCTGCTTTACAAGATGCAGGAACTGCTGCTGGAAACTTCGAAGGTACTGCCCTAGGGACAAGAGCGAATCAAATTTGAAGGTACAAGCCTTCTCGAGAAAGGCAAGGAGTTTGTTGAGGGGGTTGAGATCATCTCCTGGCT